CACATCCTCTACAGAGAACACTCGTAAATACGGCCTTTTCCTGCTAATTTTAGTGCATAGTTTCTATTTATTTATTTAACATGTTGGAAAAACCATTAAAAACCAGCGGGCCAGATTCACAAAACGCTCTTAAGAAAAAACTTGCAAAGGTTCTTAAAAGAAACACTAAGAAGTTCATAAGAATGTTCTTACATTCTCAAAATAAAAACTTAATAAGTTCTCAAATATTCTCTTGAGATGATCTTAATTATTTTCTTCATTGAAAATATCTTCATTATTATGTTATGTTGGCTACGTTGCATTTTACCACAACAGTGTTAACTGTTATTTCCATTATTTAGTTTAATCCACTCAGAGGAGCAAAATGGGGGAAAAACATCATCAAAATTAGCAAACAAGAACTCGAAGTTATGGAAGACGTATGGAGCCCCTAAGGGGCCGTGGTTTAAAAAAAAAAAGTTAATCACATTGCGTTCTGTCGCAAATGTTTTGCATTACGCTGCAAGCGGTTTGCATTTGCTTGCAAAAGCTGTGCTTTGCTGAAGCTCAGAGACGGAGCAGCTCATTGAATTTTCCTTGGATTGAAATATAAAGACATTGTGTCGCTTCTCGAAATCAAACATGATTAAAAAAGCAAAACAGTAAAAGCTACATTTACAGAGGCTGCAGAGAACAACAGCTGAATAAACTCAGCACAGACTGGCCAAACTGGGAAAACAGATTTTAACGGTAGCTATGCTGAAAACAAAGCTCTAATGTAGGCAATGTCGTCGGGCACCTCTGGTCCTACGTTTGCTTGCTGTCTGACAAGCATATGTTTTGTGAGGGAACGCAATGTCATTAACTTTTTTTTTTTTTTAACCACGGCCCCTTAGGAGCTCCGTAGAGAAGAAACCTCTTTGGAAAATACAATAATTGTGGGGTGAAGGAGGAAAGCCAGAGACAAGGATGGACAGGAGCAGGTAAAATGGATACATTTAGACGCTCACCTCGTCACCTCTTACAGTCTGAGACGAGTGTAAGTCTGTTGTAAGGTTAAGAAAACATTTGATGAATATAATATTTTCAAGAATATCACTTATTTTTGGAATCTTTCTAGAGAAAATAGTTTAGAAAATAAGATAATTCTGAAAAAGTTATTTGAAGAATAACATTATTTTGTAACTTTTTTCTTAAGAGTGAAGTTCAGGAAAAACACACAGTTAAGAAGATTTTCTTTCTTAAGACACTTTTGTGAATCCAGCCCATGTTTTTTTCATAATACAGTGTGATTCAAAAAGATTCATCTGATTTCAAAATGATTTATTTCACTTGTAAATCATTAAAGAACAATGCAGTAAACTGTAAATGATTTAAATGAGCATAAAGTTTATTATTCAATTGTACAAGGTCTCAGTATGAACCTCCTCCAGTTGTACAGACAACATCAACACCATAGTCAAACTCATCCCATACTGGATTGAGCATGTCGGGTGTCGCTGCACTCACAGCTCTTTCAGTGTGATTTCGGAGATCATCCAGTGTTGTGGAACCAACGACGAACGCTCTGAGCTGTTGGAGCTTCACTGCTGATGAAATCACGCTGCACAGTTATGACTGATTCACTCTTATTGAAGTAGAGAACGCAAAACACTTTCTGCTCAGGGGTCTCATCTCCTGACAGACTGAGGGGAGCCATCTTCATCTGACAGTCAGAAACTCTATGACCCGCTCTTTCAATTGGATTGTGATTGGTTCCTAAGCGCCTCAAGGTTGTAAAAACATGGCGCTTTGAAATCGGATGAATCTTTCTAATTCTCCCTGTATATTAAATTCATCAAATAAACAGTAGTTGTGTTTTAAAGTGTGCAGAAGTGTGTCTCTGTAGAGGATGTACAAACTTATTTACACTCAACAAATCAACAAAAAACGTCATTTGACCAGGGACAAACCTTTACATATGACTGTATATAATGTAGAACATCATCAATAAAAAGCATAGTTTTACATTGGTAATATCCATGAACCGTTAAATTAACTGAATAAAATCAATGTTGGTTTGTCTACATCAGTTTTTTTTCCACCGAAGTTTTATTTAAGACAGTCCAGGTGGAGGAATGTATGTCAGTATCCACATTTCCAAAGAAAAAGAATGTAAAAATGCAAAAACAAAACATAAAGTAATAAATAAACGTTGGCTTACTTGTGGATATAATTAAGTCATGCAGTTATGAGAGCCTTACAGTAGCAGAGAAGGATGAACACCTTTAGTTACAGTGCTGCTGAGTCACTACACAGTCTGTACTTCTTTAATAGCTGATTGTCCTGATACTGTCACTGTGGTTTTGGTTTAAACTGGACATTATTTAAACATCCCACAACGTTCAGGTAGTAACATCCTAAACTCTCTGTCCATTTATCATCCAGATTAAACACTTACAGTATTACTGAGTAAAACACTACAGAACCTTCAGGATTTTGCTCTCTCTCAACACTCACAGTGACTATACAGTCAGGTGCAAAGGTTTGGGCACCCCTGGTCAAATTCCATGTTTTGTAGGTTACTGAGATGCAGCCGCAGACGTTTTCACTTTAACTAATATAATTTGCAAAGAAATATGGCAAAACACTTTTATCCAGCAATAGCTGTAAACAATACTACTGTCTGTGTTCCAGCATTTAAACAATCAAAAAAACTTTAAACGTCTTTAAAACACCGATATCAAAGCTGTTAGAAAAGAAAAAAAAACTCTTAAAATGTTTTTATTTCGGTATTTACACCCTTTTAATTCCCAACTGCAGCATCATCCTCACAGTAATTTGCTTTTCACTGAAAATATCTGGAGAGAAGCTGATTTCAGTGTACAGTCAGTGTTTATTACTGAGACATGACTTTAAACTCAAAGGACAAAAGAAAAGTTTCATTCTAAAGAGACAAAATTAATGCTGGTTTTTATCGACTCACTAAAACTGGAATTTGAAAGTAAAAGTACAAATGACATTTATTGAAAAATAAGAAAATTGAAAATAAGTGAACACATCCTCTACAGAGACACACTGCTGCACACTTTAATACACAATTCTTTTATTTGTTTATTTGCTCAATTTAACATACTGGGAAAAAACGTACAGTGTGGCCTGTGCAAAAGTACTGGCACGTTTTATATTGTTTGCTTTATTTTTTATGTTAAACTCAAATAGATAGAAATTGTGCACTTAAATTATCAGAAAAAAGTTTATACTCAAGTCTGTTCTCTGTAGAGGACGTGTTCACTTATTTTCACATAGAAAATCAATAAATGTCATTTGACTGAGACCTTTTGGACGCAACTTCACTTTCAAATTCCAGTTAGTGAGTCGATTAAAACCAGCACTAATTTTGACTCTTAAGAACGAATCTTTTCTTTTGTCCTTTGAGTCTAAAGTCATGTCTCAGTAATGAACACTGACTGTACACTGAAATCAGCTCATCTCCAGATATTTTCAGTGAAAAAACAGCAAATTACTGTGAGGATGATGCTGCAATTGGGAGTTCAAAGCCCCTAAATATTGAAATAAAAACATCTTAAGTGTTTTTCTTTTCTAACAGCTTAGATATCGGTGTTTTAAAGACGTTTAAAGTTTTTTTGATTGTTTAAATGCTGGAACACGGGCAGTTTTATTGTTTATGGCTATTGCTGGATAAAAGTGTTTCCTCGATATTTATATTAGTTAAAGTGAAAATGTCTGTAGCTGCATCTCAGTAACCTTGTGGTGCAGGTGTCTGTGGAATCACAGTAAACAGCTGATAGTTTACGGTTATTTACTGTTAATATGCTTTCAGTAAATTACTGTGAAATTTATGCAACTAGTAGCCAGTGATTTACTGTCATTTTCCAGTGAAATTATACTGTTTGGCAATAATTGTGTTGACAAAATATTGTTGCCATCAAAGAAACAACAACATGTATCTCTATTTTTACTTATTTTTTGAGATGCAGCTCTTTACATATAAGGTTTTTAGACAGTGATGATATTAATCTTATTCATTCTCAGTGTAAAAAAATTGCTGTAAAATGACAGTAAATCACTGGCTGCATTACTTTTACAGTAATTTACTGAACCATATTAACAGTAAAATATCAGCTGCATACTGTGACTCCACAGCTACTTACACCACAAGATTACGGAGATGTAGCTGTTAAAATAACAGTAATCTCCTGTATTTTACATCAGCCGTAAAAGTAATATAAATCAGTAGCCAGCTGTACACATTTATGAAAATATTGACTTTTAGTTTTACAGACCTATAAACCAATATATATATTACTTTAAGTAAACAATTCTTTATCAATGAATATATTTATTCTAATCACCATGTTTTGCACTGTATGTGCTCAGAATATCTCGACAATATAAATACATGCACAGACATTTTAACCTTGCTTACAGTTTGCACAAATATGACCAAAAACTCAATTATAACAATACCATTTTTGTAAACACCTCCATCGTTGTTCCAGCATTGAAACTGAAAAAAACAACTAAAACCTGAATCATCAGAATAAAAACACTTAAAATGTTTTTTATTACAATGTTTATGCCTTTTTAACTCTGTCACATCCCATAATGCTGTGCAGTACAGCCCAACCTCAACCTCAACAGTAATTAGCTGTATTATTATAGAAACTCTTAATATGAGTTGATTTCACAGTAAACTAGCAAATGCAGCTTTTTACTGTGAATAAATGTTAAATATTGTGAAATCATGGCAATAATTAATAATAATTAACAGCAGATTCGTTTTATTCATTTTATTCAGTGTACAGTTTTACACAATGTTGGACTCAGAATGAAAGCATTACATTTGCCCTTTTGTTTAAATTTTTTCCATGTTAAAACTTTACTTTTAGTTTAGACCAAACTGTGTTTTATTTGTGGTAAACATTATAACGTAGTTTAAATGACACAAACAGAAAAGAGTCGGGAAAAACCTGGTCAGTTACAGAAACGTCACTGCTTCGTCCATCTTCTCACCTCTTTTTCACAGACTTGCTGAGCAGTCTGAGTTGAGTCCAGTCTTGCTCACACCTGGAAAAAGCAAATAAGCGACAGGCGGCTGCAAACTGGACGTCGGCCACAGTGGACAGTTACACGGCACCATGTACCCAGGCTTCGTTGGTTGCACTGGGCATCCCAGTGTACCCAAGAGTGCGTTGTGGTACCCCAGTGTGGAGGTGTAAATAGCATGAGGCAGTTCTCTGATCTTCTGCGCTCCGGCAGTGCTGAGGTGGCTCCCACTGAAGAACGCAGAAGACTGTGTGGACGCAGACGGATGGAGATACCTTGGACTGTCCATGCAGAATGAAAGAGCCTCTCTGGCTTGGTGTGGCTCAACTAGGAAAGGCGAGGGAAACGCAAAGCCGTCACTCCTCTTGGATTTTCTTCTGGGTCTGTATTTGTAGTTGGGATGTTCCTTCATGTGCTGAGCTCGAAGTCTTTTGGCTTCGTCGATGTAAGGTCTCTTCTCAGCCTCGGAGAGGAGTTTCCACTCGGCTCCGAGCCGTTTGCTGATCTCAGAGTTGTGCATTTTGGGGTTCTCCATCGCCATCTGCCTCCTCTGACCTCGGGACCACACCATGAACGCGTTCATGGGTCTCTTGATGTGATCCACGGGCTTCGACATGTTCCTCAAAGAGCATTTAACTGATTTGGAGAGGCTGGCGTCAGCAGGAATAGAAAAGAGAACCTCTACAGGACCTCAAAGTGCAGCCGGATGGGGAGGCTTCGTGCTCAGGTGGATGCTGGAGGATGCGACGCGTGGTCCATTCTTCTGTAAGCGATGCTCCTAAAGCTGTTCCCCTTTAGTTTTGATCCTTTTTGAGAGGGGATTTCCAGTCAAGTGAGCTGAGTTTCAGGGAAAGCTTTGGTGTGAAGACAGAGCGCTGTGTCAGAGCCTCACCCTTCAGCCCCCGGCACCCAATCAGCCTCAGCAGCATCACACTATTACAATGAGGCCAGAAAAAACAGCCATTGAACAGAAACCTTTCTTCCATCAAGTAAACAAAGCTGAATAAAATGAAATCCCTCTTTAGTTAGGCTGGTAAAGGCTGCACTGAACTGCACTGCAAAGAACTGACGCATCTTTACAGCAGAAACACTGCAGGAATCTACTGTATTTTATTAAATATAGCAGATAGCTGTAAATAAATGTGGTGCATTCTGGATGATGCAGGTCAAGATTCTTGTCAAATAAATTAAAATGTTTAGTTTTACAGTAATTTGCTGTTTTTTGTAAAGGATATTGGGAAGTGCAGATTTGTGCAGTCTTGAATAGCCTGTTTCTGAATGTTGGGCTGGAGTTTCACAGCGTCCGTATCAGTTTTGGTAGTTTTTGTTAACTTGCTTTAATTTTTTTTTATCTACAGTTAATTTGATTTGAGTAAAAGTAAGTTAATCCATCCTCTATAAAGAACATATTTCTGCATGTTTAACGCACAATTACTGCTTATTTGCTAATGTACTAGGAGGAAAAACAAAACTCTAAGAGACTCACTGACTCGTTGGTTCACTGACTGACTCACTGTCATGGTTCCTGAATGACTGAGTGACTCAATGACTTTCTGAGAGACTTATTTGCTGAATTATTTACTGATTTACTGACCGACTCGTTGACACTGATTCAGTTGCTAACTGATTCACTGGCTAATTCACTGATTCATTCAGGAATTCACTAATTGGCTCATTAATCCATTGACTAACTGACTGACTCACTGACTCATCGATTCACTGACTGACTCACTGTTAGGGTTGCCGAATGACTGATTGACTCACTGACTCTCTGAGAGACTCACTGATTCACTGTAAACACTTTGGTTCTACAGTAGGATGAGTTCAGGCTCCTCTGGAGAGCTGTATTGGTCTATTGTGGAACGTGGGTGCTGTAATAAAGCTAATGTTCCAGTCTGTATTCATAGTTCAGCTAAACTGGGCCCGTTCACTCTTGCTCTTTTATTCAGAGGGTGCATAGATCAGGCTACAGAGTCCTACACTGACTGCTCATGGCTGATAAGAGTGCCGGTCATTTTTCCAATTTCACCTCAAAGCTTTTGGACCTTTTACTACGTAAATAAAAAGCTCAGATTCAAGCTCATGCTCAGATTTGCCAGCTGCAGCTCCAGCTGACTTTGACTTTGACAGTTTGTTCTCTCATTTGACTCAATGGCTGAAGGCTTAAGCGTCTTTGTGAATCTTCTGCTGAAGCCTCGCTCAATCCTCTCAGCTAAATAAACCATGAATTTGGCCTTTGTCTGCTGGCAAAAAGGAACATTCACAAGATTTGGTTTGGTGGCCCTCAGAGGAAATGTCTTATTCTTCTCCTGCTGCACGGCTGGACTGAAGACAGTCAACAGAGCCAGCATGAAGAATTAGGAAATAAAGTCTATGGATGAACTTACACCATACACTGCAAAATATGATACCTTAGTGAGTGTAAACACCTTAAATGTAGTCAATAGATCTACTATTTCTCATTATGAGACTGTTGTAAGAATATTGTGTGATTATTTAACTTATTTCTAGACATTTTTACTTGTTTTTAAGCAGTTTTATCTTATAAAAGTGTCTTATTTCATTGGCAGATCATGTTCCTTGTTTTAATCATTATTTCTTGAAATGAGCAAAATTATCTTCATTATTTCTCAAAACAAGTAAACTAATCTGCCAATGGAATAAGACACTTTCACCAGATAAAATCACTTAAAACAAGTAAAATGTACAGAAACAGGTGGAATAATCTTATAATATTCTTACAACAGCCTCATAATGAGAGATATTAGATTTATTGACTACATTTAAGGAGTTTACACTTGTTAAGATATTATTGCAGTGTGCTCTACTAAAGATGACATTTGATTCTGGCGGTAAAAGAAAACATTAATTATGCTGACACTGTACACTCCGCAGTCACCTTCTTTGAAATCTCTCCGTTTTATATGTAACCTACTAAAGAAGCAAACGTCAGGCACCAAACATGTCTTGGCTGGTCAGATACAGTACTGTGCAGAAGTCGGAGACCACTGTTCATTTACTTTATTCCCATTCAAAACAGGTGTGAAGTCCCCCCTGGTGTTTTGGGGGTCCCATGTTTGCTGGCTGCTCCAGCATTGGCTGGCTGCTGACTCACTCGCCGTAACGGCCCTAATACTAGATTCAGTGGCAGCAAAATGTTTGGTTCAAAATTTCTTTTTTCTGAAAATACTTTTTTCTAGTTTGGACTCTTGGGAAATCTGGCAAGTTTTCAGATTTACAATGTGCTGTATGCTGTATATGAAGGACCAACTGGCTGAACCAGTCTGCTACAGCGCCACCCTGAGGCAGAGCAGTGCTGCAGCTCTAGTTAGTTAAGAAGACCAAAGACAGAATTGCTGATTGTGGGTGAAGCAGAAAAACAATGAGCTTCACTGAATCTGTATTTGAGTGACAGCACAATATCATCATCAATTTATTTAATCCCCAGAATTTTGATTTTGAGACAGTCAGGGGGTTCAAGAAGTTAATTAGGGGGTACTGAACCCCCCAGGACCCCCTCTATTTCATACCTTGGACCAGATTAATTCATGTGCAGTCTCACTAGCACTACCCAGACAGCAAGCATCTATCGGTCCACTGGTCTGAAAAGGTCGGCACCCCGCTGACAGTTTGCCACTGCTGGTCCACCCTCGGACCACCCAGACTATTGTCCTGCATACAAGGACTAACTAGTTTTTAATCTCCTCAAACAGATTTTAAATGCACAGAGATTTTTATTTTGGAAAATAAACTTACGCAAATTTGAGAGAAAACAATAATGACTAGGCCTGATATAAAATGATTTCATAGAAAATGTTGTTGCTGACACTGAGCTGGATTAACATTATTTACTTAACCAATTTACAAAGTATAACTAAAGAAAGGAAAGAAGGAAAAATCAGTAAATTGGACTGTGAGTGGAAAATGAGCGATGATAGGTGGACTTTTGTCTAATACTCCACTTAACCGCCAGTGGACTGCCCGGAAAATGCCGAGCAAAACAGCAGTGGACCACCAGCTTTGCCATTAGCGGGCCTATATTGGCCCACTATCCTCTTGCTATCAGGGTAGTTTTGTAATTGTCAGTGTCCAAAGTGACTGACTGAATTACTCACTGATTCAATGACCGACTCAATGACACGCCCACTGATTCAATGGCTACCTGATTCACTGGCTAATTCACTGATTCATTAAGTACTTCACTAATTGGCTGATAGATTCGTTGACTAACTGATTCTCACTGACATTTGACCTCAAACCAAAAGATGTAAACAAAAATTCACAACTGATTAGACAGATTTTATGATGTACAGTTGATGAAAATAACTAGGATGATATCCACCAAACTTTCTGAATTATACTGTACTCTGGCTTAACTCAGCTAGGCTTAACATTCTCGGCTTAACATACAGAAATATGTAAGTCTTGTTTTATCTCTGTCTTGCGATATTTTAAAGCAATAAGCCACAAGAGGCAGCACGTCACCGCAGTTTCCTCACAAAGCTTCAGTTTTAAATCCTTATCCACTCTATAATGACCAGTTCAGAGTTCAGAGCTCATGCAGACAGTAATTTTGTTTGTGGTCCATTTAGACGACTTTGGTCCATTTTGTGTTCACATTTCAGAGTGCACCAGAATTCGTTTGGAAGCAGACCCCCTCTGGGGGGCCTCAGTCTGCTTATTTCGTGCACCAGAGCTCAAATGGCAGCGCTCACACTTCTGTTCTAATGAACTGCACTAACAGAGCAATCGGACCAGGGTTCATTTTGACCCAACCAAACCCGCCAAGTGTGAACACACCCTTATTCTTCATTCATCTCCTGTAAAGCTAATATTTAAGTTATGTAGGTATGAGAGTGAGGTACTGATGCATGCACCCATGCGGACCCCGAGGGTTAAAGAGGTCCATTGTCAGGCCAGAAGCTTCAACAACTAAATATAATTTTCAGTGTCAGTGAGTCACTCTTTCCCTTTATTCCAGCTTCCATTCTCTTCAGGAGACTCACTTTCAGTTCCTCAAAGAATCTGCAGACACGCCTCCAAAGTTCAGTCTTAGAAGCTGGTTGATCATTTTCTGAAGTAATCAAACCCATTCAGTGGTGTCGAGGTCTGGACTCTGGGGTGGTCAGTCCGTCGTTCAGCTTCTTTGTTTGATGTGTCCGTCTCCTTTTCTCAGTGAGGCTCTTCTTGAACAGCTACACATCCTTTCAGACCCACAGCGCTGAGTCGTCTTCTCACAGTGGAAGGATGGACAGAAACACCTGTGGATGTTTTCAGATCTGAAGCAGCTTGATTTTCTCCTCTCTCTCAGAGATGAAAGCTTTAAGTGCTGTTTATCTGATGGGGGCAGTTTTGGGGTCTACCAGGTCTTCCAGGTGGTTGTTAGGAGCCTCATTTTCTCTGTAGCTTTTGATCAGTTTTTGAACTCCAGTTCTGGAAACTCCTGTTTTTTCCCGTTGACTTTCTCCTTCCTTTTGCAAGTGGATAATCTTATATCTAATCTCTGCAGAAACATCACCTGAAAAACGAGGAATTTGTTCTTAATTTCCCATCTGGAAATTAAATTAATGAAGGGTGGTCAGACGTTTGCACTGTACTGTATGTGTTGGGGTAAGTGGGGGA